CACACACACACACACACACACACACACACACACACACACACACACACACACCAGCACACCAGAGGTACGGAGGAGCTCAGAGCGCATCGCTTGTTCCACATACCTTAAAACAGATTTTTATTGTGTGGCTTTCAAATCAGCATGAGACTTGCAGTTTTCTTAGCATTTTATGCTGTCTGTTGTATTTGTATTGTTTTCACTGCCTTTGCCATACACACACACACACACACACACACACACCAGCACACCAGAGGTACGGAGGAGCTCAGAGCGCATCGCTTGTTCCACATACCTTAAAACAGATTTTTATTGTGTGGCTTTCAAATCAGCATGAGACTTGCAGTTTTCTTAGCATTTTATGCTGTCTGTTGTATTTGTATTGTTTTCACTGCCTTTGCCATTGGATGACTAATTTTACATGGAGAGCACTTTGAATGTAGCAATGGCTGTTTTAAATTTCTCTATAAATAATGTTGAGTTGAGTTTGGTAAGTGGAAGATATACATATGGCTGATGATTTTTGTTGCTTTTACAGGGCGGCAGGTGGTTGCAATTTGATGCCATACCCACCAAGCATGATTATGTCTCTGAAAACCAAGGATGGAATGTCTGAGTCGAGATCACATTCAAGCAATTCAAGTCATTGAGAAGAAAAATCATCTTTATTATTTGAACTGAATACAGGTGGCAAGTATGGGAATCTCTCTATCCTGAGGAATGTAATTTCATCCGTTCTGTATGTTGCACATGTAGCATATTTGACAATAAAGTTGACTTGACTTGACTTGCCATTATACATTAACGACCACACGATGATCAGGATGATTTGGACTGAATGCTTGAGGACGAGTTTTATTTTGGAATAAGAACAACTCTCTTTGATCTGGGGTGACATGTCCAGCAAACCCAGGGGGTGGATTGGTTGTTGGTCCAAGTCCAAGTCCAGGTGAATGTATTCATCCAGAGTACCTGGCGCTGGCTAGGCAGATCTTGGTGGGGACCTAGATGGTGGTTCAGGTTTGAAAAGGTCACGTTCCAGACTGTTGTTTTCATCCGGGTTCACAGATGGTCCAGGTTGGATGGATGCTCGTCCAGATGAGTTGTGTTTATTGGGAGTAATTGATGATGGCATTGAGTTGTTCTGGTAGTGGTGCAGGTGGGTGAAGTCACAATGCAGGTAGACAATTTGGTTTCCAGATGGGTGGTGTTGCACTGGTGGCTGACATTTGCCAGGGTTGCTTAGTATGATGTGAAATAAAATTTGGATCGGGTGGTGGTAGCAGTCATTCATGTGGCTAATATGGTGGTTGACCAGGTGGCCAAGATGGATATGGACCGGGTGGCCAAGGTGGTCGTTGCCCATGGTTAAAGGGAGGCCAATATGGATAATTTATTGGTGGCCCAGGAGGACCTGGTGGTCCAGGTGGTCCTGGTGCACTAGTTGGTCCTCGTGGTCCAGGTGGTCCAGATGGTCCAGATGGTCCAGGTGGTCCTGGTGGTCCTGATGGCCCATCTGGTCCAGGTGGTCCTGGTGGTCCTGATGGCCCATCTGGTCCAGGTGGTCCTGGTGGCCCATCAAGTCCAGGTGGTCCGGGTGGCCCATTTGGTCCTGGTGGACCATCTGGACCAGGTGGTCCTGGTTGACCATCTAGCCCTGGAGGACCACCTGGTCCAGGTGGTCCTGGTAGACCATCTTGCCCTGGTGGACCATCTGGTCCGGTTGGTCCTGGTGGACCCACTGGTCCTGGTGGTCCTGGTGGCCCAGGTAGTCCTGGCGGTGGTCCTGGTGGACTTCCTGGAGGTGATCCAGGTGGACTTCCTGGAGGTGATCCAGGTGGACTTCCTGGAGGTGATCCAGGTGGACTTCCTGGAGGTGATCCAGGTGGACTTCCTGGAGGTGATCCAGGTGGACTTCCTGGAGGTGATCCAGGTGGACTTCCTGGAGGTGATCCAGGTGGACTTCCTGGAGGTGATCCAGGTGGACTATTGTCATCTGGGGTAAAAGCTGCATTAGATGGCGCTTGTCTCTTGATCTTAGCAGAAAGACAGCTGGTTCCTGTGATAAAGAGTTGACATCTTTGTTACATGGTGACCTTTCACTTACTCTTTTACTTGGTAGTTAAGAGTTTGAAGACTTACCAAACAGCACAAGGGCAACGGTGAACACCTTGAGAATGCTCATTGTGGCTGATGATGCCCTAAAAGACAGTAAAAAGGGACGATAAACGTACATCGAGAGAAAGTCCATGTGGTGAACATGATGGGGGAACTGGCTGCTTGGACACACTCAGTTTTTGAGGCCCAGGTGCCATGCCATGCCACGAGCCACCTGGACTATGACTGGGAAGAAGAGTCATAATTCTCTGCCAATCTTAATGCTGTTGCAGTTGGACCAAATTGTCGCATTTACTGAAACCACGACTTTTCTGGAAATCACTTTTGTAGTTGAGATACAAATTGTTTTTTTTTTTTTTTATGCTGTAATTTCTGTACTTGGTGCCAGCACCAAACATGCACTTTAAAGTCCACGGTCACGCAGAGCCTTGCCGTGCAAAAGCTTTAACTTCACAAACAATTTGTTCACAAAGGTTTGCATTTTGGAACACAGTGGACACCCAGCATTTTCGCGGCTCCTCACTTATTTAGAGATTATTTGTTTCAAATTTAAAATACTTTTTTGGGGGGTTTACCAGTGGACAGTAAAAGAAATAAAATCAACAACCAACCAAGCGTGTTTCTGTATGTGTGTGTGTTGGAAAAATCCTTTGATTTGGGATTTTTTTTCAGTTCAATGGAAAATTGTTTTCAAAAAGTGATGCGGAATGTAAGTTTTGTTTTTGGTTTGTTGATGAAGCACCATCCATAGTCTCAACAGCGTGAGAACTTTGGCCTCCGTGCGTGTCATGTGTCCCCAAGTCCGGAGAGACTTTTAGTTTTTTCCCCCCACGGTCTTAACTCAACTGTGCTTACCTCCGGCTTGCCTAAGATGAATTACAATGTTGCTTTTTTTTATGCAATTGTCAGGGTAATGAGTCTGACAAAGTGGAGCATGTCACCACAGCAAGCTTTGTCACTGGGAGAGATGATTTCTTTTTTTTTTTTTCACTGACTCAGACATTAAGATTGTCAGTGATGGAACACTTGGGTCCAAAACATGTTTCAATGTTAGCCATTTAAACCGGAAGATAATTCATTGAACACCACATGACTTTATGAAGTTATTTGTTGGGATTATGAAATCAGCCCCAAGTGTGACTGCTTTCAAGTCTAAATTAAAAAATATGCTTAGTTTCCCATGCCTGTAACTGGGTTCCTTTAAAGCATTTTTTTTACTTAAATGCAGTTTAAAAAAATCATTTTCTTCTCTTGTCCAAGTAATTTTACGACTCTCTCTTTTATTTTTATACTTTGTTTTGAATGTCTTCAGTTCTTTTATTTTTAAATGCTTTTAAATGTTGTAATTCTGCTTTGCATGAATCAAGTTGCCTTGTGCACCATTCCAAAAGTAATGAAAGCATTCTTTTGAAGGCAGCTTTGCGGCAATAATAATCTTTGATCCACATGAAAAAATATGCTTGTTCCAATGTACAAAGATGGTTTGCAGAAAGGAAACACGAAATGATGTCACACGCATTCATGAAATATATAAGACCATGAATGAGCAACCGGTCGCCCGCGGGCACAGGCGACACTCTCATTGATTGGCCTCTTAATTAGCTTTCAAAAAAAAAAAAATTCTCTGATGGTGATATTTGTGAAAAAATGCACGACATGTATTCTTAAACTTAATATTGGTTTGCTGTTTAACCGTTTCGTGCCATATTCTAACGGTAATTTTTTTTATGCCTGGGAGCCGTGTGCGCTGCAATATAAAATAAAATAAAAAAATCACAGTACATGGTTTATTTTGGATTGTTTAAACGTTCTTGAAGGATGGATCTTTTATGACTTCACTGAGAAATCTCTTATGAAAAATGAAATATGTTGAGAGGACGAATTTTGCCCTTAAGCAGGTTTTGTCTGTATTTATAATGCCGTTTTTGTCATACTGTACATATGGGTTTGGAAGTGTGTGGTCCAATGTAACCTTCGTCGAATGCATATTTTTCCCCTAATTGAACAAAGAACAACCCCGAATATGTCCAACATTAAAGTTATGATCCCTGAAAACAAATCAAGATGATGACAGTACTCACCACACACACACACAAGTTTGCTCTCGGAGGCCCTCTCAGGCTTGCGTTGCTCTCAGTCCTGCTTCCGTCTCTTCTCTGTCGCCTCACAGTCGTTACCAGTGAGCTTAAATCACTTGTCCGGCCACCATTAAGGTGTGGCCCTTTTTTCAGGTGGAGCACTGAATTGATTTTCTTTTGTTTTCACACAATTACAGAAGGTGATTTCATTTCAGTGGGTATTGCCAAGCAGTATTTCTTCGTCATGTTGCCAAGTTGTAAGGCATTTGTTAATTGAACCATTCTGAAATGAATAGAGCACACAAAAGGTCATTGCCACTGCGATCTTAGGCGCGGGTACGTGGAGTCATAACTTGTCTTCAAACAGCTTGAAACATGTTTGGTTTTTTTTTTCTTTTTTGTGATCTCTGAGTCAGTCAGTAACAGTTTGGATTTTTTTGTCTCCTCTGAGTCAGTCAGTCACAAAAACAATACCATGGCACTTTCGTTGAAATAATCATGTGTTGTCAAAATTATCCAATTAAAAAACAAAAACAGACACCTGGTGATAGTCACGGACCAAGCCCACTTTGGAAAAAAATGGTGGTGCCAGCCAAACGTGCAAAAAAATCTTGAATGTGAGGAATGGAGTAGCGGTCATGTGTGGTAACTTTGTTAAGTAGATGAAAATTAGCACAAGGCCACCATGAACCATCGCTTTTAGGCACCACATGCAAGGGCGAGGCCCACAGACTATTCGAACGCCCTTCAAAGCCCAAACGTTCCATTGTAGCAAATTCTACCTTCGCAATGGCCAATTTGGCCATGTCAAGGCAACGCGTGTGGGCAAAAACGGGCGGGCCAACGGCTGTGGAAAAAGTGGGAGTCATTAGTGATGGAAAATCCCTCAGCACACGTTGATCAAGGTCACCTGATTCCAAATAATTTGCTTGTGTTAATGGTCCGAGTAACCCAGCTTCATACGAAAATGTAGCGAAAGAGACAGCGTCAATCAAACAGCGATGAACAACATCCACTCGCAGTTTGTGTGCACACAAAAAATCAGTGCCCACAATTTGAACAGTGATGTAAGCAACAATTAAGTTCCACTGGAAATCGCATCCATGGAAGTGCACAGTTATTGGCTTGGATCCAAAATTGACAATGGGCGAGCTGTTAGGGGTGGCCCGCATCCACCTGATGTCTTGTCCGCGGCAGTGCGCGTAAGCAGTCTAACTTGTGACCCGCTGTCAAGCAGGAAATGTCTTCCTGACGAGGCGTCCGTAATGAAAAGCAGATCACTTTCTCTGCTGACACCGACAGCAGCAACTGAATGCCGGCACTGTTTCCCAGAGCCTCGTAGGTGCAGTGGGGTACACAACGCCGAGCCTTGCGGCCAAACCGCTGGTGGAAGAAGCCTTCTCGTGCCGCTTCCATGCGACCACTGCGGCCACCACTGTTGGGTCCGTGTCTCGTCTCGCTTCCAGGGGGGGAGAGGGGGGAGGGGATCAGCCAACACACTGCATGACGAATCGCTTTGTAGCCAGCAGAACTCGATTGGCTTCTTCGGCCAAGCCCCAGTAATTGCCGTCTGCCAGACAAGCGGACTTCGCCAACACTGCGTGCACAGGAGGCGTTAGCTGTTATCGGAAATTGTGCGGCAAAAGGAATCCACCGTCATCCGAGCCTAAGAGCGACAACATTTTGTCCATGAGATCCCTTGCCGTGCCATCGCCCAACCTGGTCAGGGAAAGGAGTTGTCAGCTCTCTCTAAGTCCAACAAACTGAACCTCCTGAGCAGGGGCAGTTTTAGCGCGTTGTATTTCCCGTTCTGTGGAGGTGAATGCAAGAGCTGCATAACACGATGTATAGTCAGTTGGTCAGGGCCGCCACGACCATGGAATACTTGGGCTCATCGGTGGTGATTCGCCATATGTGGAAAAGTGATTCGACATGCTGAAACCACGAAGCCGGGTTGGTCTGCCAGAACTCCAGCAGCCTCGCGGTCGCAATGATGGCTGCAAGTTGCGGGAGTTGGGGCGATATAGCAGAGGAAGACACCTCTTCATCCGCTGCTCAAAACATATTCGACGTCGGGGTCACCAAAGTGGCAATAGTAATGGCGTACACATGACTGACTGGAAACTACGTCTTTAGTCCGCAACTACCAACAAGAGAATCTCTCGCGTTGCAAAATTGCACCAAAAACATTCATGTCAAAATGCCCCTCACAGTCCATCTGCTGGGTGAAAGGCATGGCCCTAATGTCTGCCACAATATTAATGAATTATATGAATGACATATTTTTGTGTTCTTGCACACAGCACACCTATCCTCAAATCAGTCTAAATTTACAAAAAGTATTTCAAAGATAAAAGAGCAGGTCACCTTTCACCTACGGCAGGGGTGCCTGTTCCAGTCGACGACCGCAGACTGATCCCAAGGTGTGTTGGAAAAAAAAACGTTTTGTTTTTTTTTTGTTGTTTTTTTTTTTTTTTTTAATGACATGACGGGAAATCAGTGTTGCAAAACGTAGCAACTTTTACACTATAGTTAGTGAGTATTCAGATCCTCTCGAGCGACTCTTTTTTTCAAAAATGTGACTCGTAACAGTCTAGCGACTTTTTCTGGCGTTATTGGAGACTTTTGGAGTTTGTGTGGTGAAAGCACGTTGTTCTCAATGAGCAGCACCGGGAGCGGTTGTGGCCCCTCCCCCAAAATGAAGCCGCTGCTGGTTGATCGCACCAGGTTGAAAATCTGCGCTGGATGTAAATGTCAAACTTTTCTTTGTCTAAAATAAATTAAAAAGACATGCTAAAAGACATTCAAGGCTGTCTGAAATTGGAGAGGGCCTGTTCCCAAAACAGTTATCTGGATTTTCCCCTGGATGGAAAAACACATGGACGCCAGCTTCATCCCCCTACTCCTCCAAGCCTGTGACTGAGAAGGTCAGCTGCAGGTGCAATGTCAAAGTCTTCGTTGCTCCCTCCCACATCACAACTGGAGGGACTGAGTTACCAAATGTGTGCAGGTCGTTTCACGGATTGTGACGCTCTTTCTACTTTCCTCCCCGCCCTCCAGCACCATGTTCATTGCATGTTAAGTCTTGAGAATTGTTGTAATCTGTTTTTAAATGTATGCCACATGTGCTGAGGTTTTTTTTTTCCTCTGGCTCAAACCATCCTCCCATTTTGGAGAATGGTTGGAGTCTACTGTTTTTTTCCTCTCCTCTTCCCGATTGTTTTCCTTTCAAATCTAAGCGATCAGATCTCTGTTCAACGCCCCGCCAGGCTTCTCGTTTTGTCTCCTCCATGTTGGTTATTGCTGTCTTGTTGATGTTCCTTTGAATGGGTTGTAATTGGAAGGAATTTCCTTGTGTGTTTCTTGAATACTTGGCCAAGAATTCTCATATATATATCTAGGATCACTGATGCTGAAGCGTATATCAGCTCATTGGTTTCCGTGATCGTTATGGTTGGGATCACCCTCAGTGCTGCCTTCACACTTTCCATGAGACTCTCAGGTGGTACTTCACATTGTAATCGGTTTCTCGGTTGCCCATGGGAGCCAAGAGACACATTACCCACCATGGAAAAGACGGTTGGAGGCTAAGATCAAGGCGGCTCGGAAAGATGTGAGTCAATTGACGGAGGCCCAGAGAGGTGTGATGAAAAGGCCGATACCTGAGAGGTACATCCAGATGACCAAGCCTGAAGCACTCGAAACTGCCAAACAAAGGCTCCAAGCCTTGTCCAGTCGCCTAAAGAGGTACACGAAAGAGAATGAGGCCAGACGAATAAACAGGCTGTTCGCAACACAACCTGCGAAAGTGTACGCTCAGTGGCAGGGTCCTAACAGCAGAGCTGACCCACCAAGACTGGAAACTGAAAGGTACTGGAAAGGCATATGGGAGAAGGAGGTTGCACATAACAGCAGTGCACAATGGCTGGTGACCCTGAGAGAGGAGCACAGCAAACTCCCTGAACAGAACCCAGTTACCATAACAGTGGCAGACATACAGGAAAGAGTCTCAGATATGAAAAACTGGACAGCACCAGACCCGGACATGGTCCACACTTACTGGCGAAAGAAACTCACAGCAGTCCATGAGCGCCTAGCAGCACAAATGAACCAG